AGAAATTCGTAATCAACAAGAAAGGCAAAAGAGGGAATCAGAAAAGAGATTAGTGTCACAAATCGAAGAACTTGAGATTAAGTTAAAAGAAAGGGATCGTAGAGAAGCGGAATGGTATCGGAGCAGGAATGAAGCTAATGCTATTATCGATGACCTAAGATCAAAAATCAATGATTTGAGTTACGAAAAAGATTTTATTGAAAATAAATTGATAAGTCTCCAACAGGACTTTGACCGTTCACAACAAGAAGTCAAAACCCATAGCAGAATGAAAAAAAGTACCGACAACTTGATAGCAATGTTTCAGCAAAAAACCGAAGAGACTATTAAAGAGATGAAATTAAAGTTAGATGAAAAAACAAGAGAATGTGATGAGTCAGCGATACTCGTGGAAGTTCTCAAGGAGCAGCTTAACGACATCAATAAAGAACTATCAGACTTGCGCGTACAATTTTCGGACATTGAATTGGAATATAATGAATCCAAAGAACATTGTGAGGATTTAAAAAGTTTGTTAGGCGACAAACAAAATATTATTTCCAGGTTGGAGCAACAACTGGATCGTATCAAGGCTGATGGTGAAGAATACGAATCGAATTACGAGAAAGATACACGGGATTTGAAAAAGCGACTAACTCTCGATAGGGAGCAGGCATTGGCGTCTCTTCGTACCAAGTTAGAAACTTTGCATCAGAAAGAATTGCAAGACCTCAAGGTGCAACACGAACAAGAATTGGCTTCACTTCGTACTAAATTGGAAGCTTCTCATCAGAAGGAATTGCAGGATTTCAAGGAGCGTCATGAGAATGATCGTGAACAATCATTGATTTCGCTTCGCGCCGAAATCGAATTACCTTATAAGGAAGAAATGAAAGTTCAAAAAGAACGTTATGAGAAAGACCTCGTACGCGAATTGACCTTGCTTCGGGGTGAATTGGAGTCGAAACACCAGAAAGAGTTAAAATCCATCCGGGAATTGCAAGATAAAGATCGGGAACAAGCAATAAATTTAGTTCGCGCTCAGTTTGAAGATTCACACAAAAAGAAATTACAAGATATTAAGGAACGAAATGATGCAGAGCGTGACCAATTAATGATTTCGTTTCGCAAAGAATTAGAAGCTTCTCATGAAATGAAATTGCAAGAGCATGCTGATAGACTGAGACGTGAATACGAAACGAAGATTTCAAACTTGAATTCTCGGTATGAGGATCTTTCGCTTAGAAGTGCAAGAAATTCAGAAAGCTCGAAAGAACTCGAAGAGGCTGAGTCTAAATATGCGAAGTTGAATTCAGAGTATCTTCAATTGCTTGATATCAATAAACAATTATCTGATAAGATGGATGATCTCAATGTGAAAGTAAAGGAACTCGAACTGAAAAACAGTGAGATCCAAGAGAGTGCTATTGCAATTACGTCCGAAAAAGAGCGAGCAAAGGATGAGTTACTAAAGGTTCAGGAAGAATTAAAACAGCTTAAAGAAAAAAGCTTGGTGGCCGATTCTGATCTTAAAGAGTTAGAGGCGGAACGTGATAAACTCGCAGGATTAATTTCGATCATGAAGGAGGTGTGGGAAGATAAGTACCAGGAACTTCAAAATAGGTATGTGGAATTACAATCACAGAAAGAACAATTGAGCGTCGAGCTCTCTAATGTTAAAACGGAAATGGACGATAAGTTAAAGGAATATGAGGCTGCTATTAACAACGCTTCGGAACTTGAGAAGGAACGAGAGACATTATCAAAGCTCTTAGAAGAGCATCAGAATGGAATGCGCACTTGTATGGCTGAACTAGCTGCAGAACGAGAAACATGGCGTCAAAGGGAAGAAGATCTCATTTCAGTTTACGAGGGCGAATTTAAGGAAAAAAATTCCGAACTTCAAGAAAATATTGTGAGCTTGGAGGCTTATATAAATGTCTTGAAAGAACAATCACATTCTACAGAACTCGATATGCAAAATAGACTCGATAAATCTAATGCTGAAATTGAAGAGTTGCGAAAGAAGTTGCAAGAAAAAGGATGGGTTCAGCCAAATCTTACTAATTTGTCGGGCGAATCAGCAACCTCTGCATCTACAATCGAATTTCTCACGAGAAAAGTTGAGGAATATGAAATAGATAGAGAAAATCTTGAAGCTCAAATCGAATCCCTCAATAATAAATTTTCTGATATGGTTCGAGAACGTGATGCTATTATGAAATCTTTTGAGGAGTCCACCATTCGAATGGAAAAAACTGTCCAAGGCCATCGACAACGAATAGAAGATATGAAAAAAACACACGAAGAAGAGAAGGAGGAAATTTTATATCTCCATCAAACCTCTATTAAATCTCTTAAGGAAAAGCACGAAGAAGAATTTACACAGCATTCTGTGGAAATGCAATCCCAGATAGAATCTCTCGAAAGACGGGTTCGTGAGTTGATGTCAATTCCTACCAATGCAAATGAATCGGATCCGAAAGTTATTTTGATGAAACAAAATATAGAAAATTTGGGGAAACAATTGAAGGTGTCAAAGGAAGAATGTGAAATGTTGATTCAAAAAGTGCTCAATTTCCAAAATAAGTTTTCAGATGCAACATATGAGAAAGAAATTTTGATCAGAGAAAAGAGTGAATTAAGCAAAAAGCTGAAATCGATGGAAGCGGAAAACATTGGATTACACGAGAGAATAAAATCTTTGGAGGCGGAATCGGAAGAGGTAAACTTTGATTCCGATTATTATTTTTGTTTATTGCCAATTTGTCAATCTACTAAATCATTATTTCCTTATAGATCCTGACCAAAAATATTGACTTTATAACGCAGATGAGTAAATACGGAGCACAGTAATCATTTATTTTATTTATAATAATCTTATATGTTAATTTATTACAACTTAAAAGTTCTTTATCTTCATTTTTTTAATTCGTGAGATTAATTTTTTCTGTATATAGAACATACTAGAGATAGAAGTAATTAATTAATTAATTAATTAATTATTATTTTTGTTTTTATTTTCTAAAAAAACATTATAAACTAGAGTCATTCTGAATTTCTATAAAATTAAACATTGCATATACAGCATATTTGAGCCAAAGCATTAAATAAATCATGCATTAATAAAGAATGGACCGTCAGGTTACTTTATAATGAGGAAACTTTAATTATACGTGATCTTTTAAACTATACAATGAAGGATATATATTTGGGTTATCGAAAAGATCATTTATGCTTTTACGTGGCTTCTTTCTGCGAACTCGTTTCGTCATATCCTTCGAATGCTGCTTAACTTGATCCTCAATTATTTCGTGTGAATTTGACATCTCAGGTACCTCAGGCTTTTTGCTGCCGTCATGATCAATGCTTTCAGGTGGACGAGAATTTTTAGATATATTCTCAATATTTTTTTCGAAAACTTTTGGATCGTCCGACTTCGTTTCCTGTAGATGATCAAACTCATGATTGAGAACTACTTCGGAATGTTTCATATGACCTTCATCACTTTGGACTAATTTTCTAGGTCTACCTCTCTTTTTTGTGCCGACTTCTGAACCTTCGTCTATCCTTTGTTTTTTAGGCCTACCCTTTTTTTTGATGGTGACTTCTGAATTTTCATGTGACTGTAATTTTTTAGGTCGACCCTTTTTTTTACCGTCGATAGCATGTTCGCCATTATTATTCAACTTCTCTTCCGATTTAGGCCGACCCTTTTTTTTACCGTCGATAGCATGTTCGCCATTATTATTCAACTTCTCTTCCGATTTAGGCCGAGATTCATCATCGGAATCTTCCGAATCCAAGAAATATCTTTTGGAAATATAGTTCTCTTTCTTTCTGTTATCGGCATTCCTTTTTACAGAATCAAAATTCCTTGACGTATCGCTGTCAGTTTTCTTGTTAAGTATTTTCTCTTTTTGCGCGCCGGAAGCTTTCTTCACGGGCAATAATTTTTCACTTGCAACTTCACGAAAATCACTCGCGTTTGCATTCACAATATTGTTTTCATCGCTGTTTGATTCGGAAGAGCTTTCTAACATCTTTCTGTCATTAAATGAATATTTGTTTTTGATTAATTCCGTCGAAATTCCACGATTCTCTTTTGTATCACCTTTCCTTTCATATTCAATATCAGATGACGTTTGATCCGATTCTTCGGATTCCGAAATGATATCGCTTGGAGGATTGGTTTTAGACATTCGTTCAATGGGATTATTCGTTGGGATATTACGATTTTGAAGTGAATCCTGGTTTGATGTGCTCACGGCGTTTGAACCAGGTTTTAAAAGGTCTCTCTCTTTAGCTGAATTCATACTTCTATGTTGATTTTCTTTCTTCGTTTGCGAGTATTCTGCAGAATTTTTTGTATTATCTTTTGAATCCTCTTCAGACTTGCTGGAATGCGACGCGTCTTCTTTATCGACGGTATCCTTTAACACATTAAGAGAAGATTGAAAAATATTAGTATAATTTCACCACTTTGTGCATGATAATTGAATAGTCGAATACAGTAAATAGATGGGTGAATCTGGATAGCAGGTTGAAGTTTATCGTTATAATATATATCGCAAGACTCATTGGTTCCTGAATTAGTATTTAAGTCGCTAACCTTGCTTACTATATTCAATTTAATATCGTTCAAAGAACCATCAGGATTTCTTTCGCACTCATTCATTTGTGCATTCTCTATATATTCCCTTGGTTCTTCGACTGTAAGGTTTGTGTTGTCCGCGAGATTGTTTACCAATGCATCTATTCCTGTGTTTTGACTGTCTTGTGCCGAAAATCTTTTGGCATTGTTGGAATTACGATTGACATCAGACTTTCTTTCTCCGAATTTATCCTGGTCGTTGTTATTCATGCGGATGTTCTTATCTGTGGTGTTACAAATTTCTGAATTCTCAACCTCGATATTATTAACATGTTCGATTATTTCTTCGTTCTCACGCGAAAATTTCATGGGTTTGTCAACGGTATCCAGTTCCATATCTCCTAAAGTGTCAACCAACTGGTTATTTTGATGCAGGTCATTATCTCGGTCAAGATTATTTTCTGGACATTTGGTTTGAATAGAAAGATCATGAGAGTAATTTTTAAGGTCAACATGATCAGCCACACCCGTGTGAGCAAAGACATTATTATTAGAGTCCTGTGAGTGGGTACTTTCTTTGGTATTCATGTCAACTTGACTGTCAGAAAGCACCACCGAACTTGTAGGAATATTGTTGCTCTGATGTTCCTGGTCCGTTATGCGGTCATGAAATTGTAAACTCTGATTAACCTCAATGTCGTTACTTTTCAAAATATTTTCAGACGTGGAATCCCCATTATTGACCATAGCTATCGGTATATTCTGATCTTCAGCTTTTCTGCTATCGAGTTCAGTCTCTTTGTTTAGAGAACTATCTTTCTGAATGCTATTAACTTCATCTCCCACCTCAATTTCTCGTGATCTGCCGTCACCAGACACATATGATCCATCTTTACTTACCGTTTCTTTTCCTCTATTTATTATTTTTTGAGGGGTAGCACTGTTTTCTTCAATACGCATGTTTTCATCACTGTTCGAACTTTCGTCTTCAGTTGTTTCTTCTTTGCTTTCTTCAAAAATTATTTCTATTTCATTACCATCTTCCTCATTTTCATCGTCGTACTCGCTACTGGATTCTTCATTGTCTTCTTGTTTACTATACGCCGTCAAATTATTTTCATCTACATTCATATTAGTTGCCGGCAATTCCTCATTGCTCTCTATGTCACCATCATTTTCACTACTGTTCACGCTATCCGTAGAGTTATCGTCCAATTCATCAGAGTTGTCATTCTTAACCACTTTGTTGAGGGTTGCATGATCTGCTAAAACGGTTTTGTTGGTGACTAAATGACCATGCTCGTCGTCACTATCCAAATCTTCGTCACTCTCATTACTTTCTGATCTCTCGTCGCTCTCGCTACTTTCTGATTTCTCGTCATCATTAATTACATTGTTTTGATGAATAACTTTCACTTCCGATTTCTCATTCTGTTCTATATTACCTTGCAACGGTGATTTATTTCCAGCACCCATTTCTTTTCCGACATATGAATTACTACGTCCGTTTTCATCCTTCTTGGAATATGGTTTTACGTTTTTTTCAAAATTGCCGAGAAAAGATTTTTCTCTAATATTGATACCAGTATTATTTAAGTTCGTACTACTTCGGGTTTCATTATGGACAATCTTTTCTTTTGGTATCATATCATCATCAGAAGTTGAACCATGACATGAAAGATGAGAAATGTTTTTAATGTGATGATTGCCATCAACAGGATCTCGGAGAACCGAACCTCTCATGTCAACGCCCTTATCATCACGGTATTTTTCTGGATCCCAAATGCTGCGCTTTGGTACTTCGTTAACAGAAGCCCGATCATCACATCCGCCTTGATGCAAAGTCATATCCATTTGGTTGATGGTAACGTTATTGCTAAGATCCTTGCTCCTACTATGATCTGAACGAGAGTGCCCTCCATTTGCTAGTATATAAAATATCATTAAGAATTTCAAAAGAAAAAAATTGTTATTACATAGTCAAATAACGATTAGATTTCCTGCCTGAGTATTTATTGTTCCCGTAAATTCTATTAACGTTATTATTATTCGCCTTGTCGAAAATTTGATTGTCGAGAATGCGGTGAGTCGCGACCATACAATTATTTAACGATTCGTCGTACTGCAATCGGTATCTTTTGCTATTAATGATGTATTCGTTACTATCAGATAGTTGATTACTATCAATTCCTCTTTTTCCAAAAATGTTAACGTCATTTGAAACTTCGGTGACATCTGAATTTCATTAAGAACAAGATACAAAAAATATTTTTTAAAAATCAAATGGTTGAGAACGTGCGATTCTCGATTTGATTTTTATTTATATTTACTCTCAATGTTCCCAATTTCCCGATGGAGTGGTTGGTTACCCTTTGCCAGGATTACGTTATCCTGACCAAAGAAGTTCCCAACTCGATCACAATCTGCCAAAGCAAATCCATCATCTGTCATGATTTGATTTATTATCGGAGAACTTGCATAAAAAATTAGAAAGGATCTATTAGATTAGAGTCGAAAGATTGGTTATAGATAAAAATGATTTTATTGTGCTCACATAATATCAGTTCCATAAATGATATTATATCGTTGACCGATAAGTTGTTTTAACGTTCCAACAGTGGTTTCAGAATTTACCAACAACATAATCTTTCTTTCACACGATTCGAAAACCAGGCGAATTTTTAATCGAATCATTGACATGTCCATTTTTTCGTCAAAACAAGTTTTGCATATTCAACATGCAAATTCTTAGTTTTAAAAGTCGCAAATTTTATAAATCGATTTTTTTTGTACCACGATGTTATTTGTTTCTATTTTTAGAAATAGCAAATTTGCAAATCCCGCAAGATATTATCAATATATCATAATGTCATATCATTGATCGATTACTCACTCATCTTCCTATAAGCGACTTTTCTTAGCTTTTTTCACTTGTCATTTGCACAATGTCACAACAAAATGACGAGGCATGCCTTCAATCCTCCGGGATTAATAACGAAATTCCCGAGAACGTCGCACAATTTCAATCCCAACTATCCTCTCAATCCCTCGAAATCATTAATCAAATATTTCCACAGAAAATTCTTGAATTAAGTCGATTGTTAAATGTTCATACTAACTTGCGTGTCGCTTCCCAATCTGTTGATTACGATGAAAGCTCGATCTCACGGAATTCCTCTTTCTCTATTTATTCATACGTCGATATTCCCGCACCTGATCCTATTGTTGGCGAAGGATCGGATAATTCATTTTCGCGTAAACGACCTAGAAATGATACTGACGGTGAAGGCCTTGATGCTGACGATAAGAAAATTGATGAAAACGTAGAAGAAAATCCTTGGTATTCGGTCGTCGAAAATGATCAACCGCCACTAAATCTGGACGGGAAGGATTACCATTGCATAAAAGAATTACAAAAAATTCTTGAAGATGAAATTTCTTGTTTGATTGAGTATTGTTGCATACTGAGGGCATGGATATTATTTAAATACCCAAGGTTTGTATGTTCAATTGTTTGGAGGATTATGGCTGTGGTTTTTTGTATTACTGGATTGCGATCCTTAATCTGATAGGATAGATACAGAGGAAAATCTCAAAGTGTCGGCAATCGAAGGTAAGATTATTGTATTTGCGAAAAAAATTGGTTTATCTTCCTTTCATGTATGGACATTCTCTTTATTTTTTTAAATTAGAAATGGCGGCCGAGTTGTCACGTGTTGAAGACAGCTCCTTCGTATTTTTGAACAACATCACAAGGTTTTATGTCGCGCGCGTTAAATTAATCAAGTATGTAAAATTATTAATAATCTCGCGAGAGATGCCCTGCCCATGAAGATACTATCACTTATATACATATTCTCGTAATAGAAAAATCCATAAACATCCGACGATCCAAGATAACCTCAACGCTCTTATTCACTTTGATCATCAACATTTAATTGATGTTCGCTATCAGCTCCGAGATACGTGCAACACTTATGCCATTATCCATGATATGTTAAAGAAGAACATGTATCATCTGGAAGGTTAATTGATGCAACAACGTTTATTTGTTATCGGGTCGTTAGGTCCATAAGCGTGATGATTGCTCATTAAACCATATGTTATTAGTAAATTATACACAAAACTTTGGACATCCCGCGAATGAAAAAGTATAAAAAAAAATAATGTATCGCGTTACACTACTAATGATTATAACGGGAGAGTTTCGCTTTAACATTATTCCTTCCCAAGTATGTAAATGAAGGCCGATTTTTTTTTAGGATTATATTTGTCGCGTTATTTGTAACACGTGATCTGTGTAACTTGAAAACCGAATAACTAAAGGATTTTTTCCGAGAAAAAAAATTTTTTTTTTGATAAGGCATGTCAAAAGGTGTTGGTGAGGATTCACTTGGTTCATTTCAGCTATGTGTAAGTTTTTTTGAAATTACTAACAAATATGAGTTTTCTTTCTGCAGTGCAGGTGACACGGTGTAGTACAATTTCCCGAAATTGCATCATTGTGATATCATTGATATTAAAATCAACCAATCCGGAGATGTTGTGCATAAGCTTTAAAAAAAAAAAAAATATGGAAATGCAAAATAAAACATTGTTAGGCCTTCTCTCTTCCTTTCCTCTCAATCAAAACCATAAATAATTACTAATAAAAAATAAATATAGTATTAATAATGAGGAAAAGAACATTCTTTCAATCAAGCGACGACGACAGTACGCAAAACAGGTAAAATATGAATTGTAGATTCTAAAAAGTTTTTAAATACTAAAACCTTGCAACATATCCTTAGAACTCTGGCTTCAAATGCAAACTTGATAAATCAGCCGACGATTAATAATAATCATACATTTTGTTCCTTCGAGTATCAATTGGTGAATGTTCGCCAGATCGAAGGCAAAATATGCAGTCCTCGATTTGAAACCATGCCAAATATCTTTTGGCAACTAGGGTTCATACTCGTAAGAAACATTTATTGAACATAATGTCCTTTGCATTTTATTCATAATTGCTTCGAAAACGGTGGTTTTTTACTGTTTTTTTTTAAATAAAATGATATTTATGGTAGGAATCACCTAATGATCCTGAATATTGTGCAATCTACCTCCACGCGATATGTAACCCGGACGAAGTAGAAGAATACGATCCGTCGCGAAACGATTGCTTACCCGCTCTCATGTATATAAAAAAGCTTGATGGAACATCCATCAAGCAAATGGTTACGTCTTCGAGGTTTCAGTTTAGATCTGTAAAGATTAGAAGATTACGTGCGTATCTGATTTCATTTCATTTATTTTTGAGTAATCCACATGCCGAGATATTATTTTAAATTTAGTCTGTTCTTCTCAAATAATAATATAATGGGAATGTCGATAACAAATCAGGAATGGCTCAGTTTTGTAAAAGGGAGTTGCTTTCTGATAGCATTGTGATTGGTGTGAAGTTGAGAAGAACCCAACTTCTCGATCAATTCGATAGGGCTTTGTCATTACAGAGACCGATACCGCTCAAAACATTTCCTAAAAATTTAGAAGCAGCATGGAATAATGAATTTCAAAGGGCCGGATCGGGTGATGTCAAAATCACGGTTCAAGGGCAAACTATCTATGCAAGTAGTGCAATCCTTGCTAAGCGTTCCGACTACTTTCAAAGAATGTTTGAGGGATCATGGGCAGAATGCAATCGGTCCTGTAATAATCAACAACAAATTACAGACGTTAGTTCCATCAGTGATGGTGATGATTGTTTGTTGACAACGTTCACGGTGTCTCCCAAGTATCACATTGAAATCAAGGATTTTGATTATCAGACAACAGTTCAAATGCTTCTATTTCTATACACCGATCAGGCAGAACTTGATGAATGTTCGAATATATGGGAGTTGTATACAATTGCCAACAAGTATTTGATCTCTGATTTAGAGGCCAAAACTAAAGGAAAGATAATTGAAAACATGAGCATCGCAACAGCTGCCGAAGGTTTGTTCGGGAATGCGTGGAAATGGTCGGAGCTGAAAAAGAAATTTTTAAAATTTGTAGTAAAGAACTTTGCTTCTATTCGAAACAGTCAAGGATATAAAAATATTGTGGCCAATCAGTCAAAGTATCCAATGTACCTGGAGATAAATTCGGAGATCTTGTTGGCGATGGTTCCTGAAATTCCACAAGAAATCCCGCAATAGGTGATTCTAAAATTTTACTGTTTGCCAACTTACCTTTATTTTGAATATTCGGTGTTTGATAGTATTTGCTTTGTACATTCAAGACCTTATGTTTTTACCGTAGACTGGCATTGTTTCATTCCACTTTCATTTCTTTCGTAACTTGTGTGATATTTACATAAATTCGAAATTTTTTTTTTTGAAAATTATTGATTTTCATGACAAATTTAAAAAAGACATTTATAAGAGACCTTTTTTTTTTTAGAGTCGTGATAATTTTACAGTGTATATAAAGAAAAAATTTTATTCTGACAGAGGTTAACAAAATAATATGGATATATGGAATTATCGAATGATTTATACTTTTATAAATCAATTTAATTAATTATTCATGAGACACAAATGTAGATAAACATAAGATAAATGAAATAAGATATCTTGCAGGTGAATTTAAAAAAATATTGACGTTTAAAAAATAACCTACTTAAACAACCTACTCGATTATTCTTAAAAACTTTATAACATATACTGTAAATAATTTAAATAAAAATGTTTTTACGAGTTAATAACAAACGTTTAATGATAACTTGAATTTGGAATATATCAGAATAAAATAAATATAACAATTAAATAATTAACAATAATTTTGATTAAGCGAGAATTTATTTTCGTTATGCAAAATTCTTTCATAAATTGAATATATTTTTTTTAAGAAACAGTATGTTTGAAATCGACTAGACGGAATTATGATAAGATGTTTTTTACATGGTTTTATTGACATAAAAAAAGAATCTTTTATTTACGTATATATTATTTATTTTAAAATATTATTCATATTTTTATATTTTATAGGATCTCACGTTAACAAAAATGTATTATTTTTTAAAAGAATCTATAATAAATTTAAAACCATTTCAGATTAATATATTTTTTTGCTGGGAACAAATAAATAAGCTGCTCACGAATCGAATACATGGTTATTTTCCGGAACTGTCATGTTTCAAAATTTACTATGATTATCCAAGAAGTTTCCCGATATATTTTTTTTTTTGCATCAAATTATCAAATTCAAGATCGGGACAGCAATCACGTGTCTTTCTCTTCTTTTTACGAATAACGAGGCTCTTTCAACCGGTTCGGCTGAAATTTGTAATCTTGATTTAGATTCCTTTGACAAGTTTCACCCTCCCATTAAATTGTGAAATCAACTTTACCGAGGCCAGGAAAGAAGAGATGTGCTGTGTTAGATCCTGAAGTATTAACACGCAACAGGATGTTTGCGCCACACATGAACAAGCGGGATGACATCCATTGAAAAAACATATGAAACAAAAGTTGCAAGCTTTACCACGCCTTGGATTGTTGATTGTTGTATTGTAATGTAATGGCGCTTGTGCTCCTAACACAGCATGTTTTTACCTTGCATCGTCATACCATGGCTTGTCTTTCTATCAAATTCGTTGTACCAGCGACGCCAAGGAACTCTCTAAAACCACCAAATGTTTTGTTAAAACTATTTATTTTTGCCCAGAATATAGGTTTAATGGTAGACGTATGATGATATCACAATTAGGTATCCGATCGTGTCTTATGAATTTACACAATATCAAATCGTCACGCAACACTCTCTAAAAGACCAAGAGCAACATTTGCGCGACCTCCGGATTATCCATCTCGGTGGGGCTGGTTGATTGATAATTTAATTTATCCATTCTCCAAATTAGCCGTTGTAAGTCAATCTCCTAATTAGGGGGATTCAAGACACATGACAGAATTCAAAATTTTGATGAAATCGGGTTTCTGCGTGGATTGATGATTTTCTGCAAAATGAATTACAAGTAAATGAATGACATTAAACTAGATCAAATGAGGATCATATAAAAAAACTCCGACGCTAGTCTGATTTTCGTCCAACGCAATCAATTTAATAAGCCTAACCGATTAAGGGGTGGGTCGGTAACATTGAGGAGTGCAAATAATTTACCACCGGAAAGGGCAAATAGGGATGACGGGGAGTTAATGAAGTGTATGGATTAGGAAATTAAGATTATTAACAAGTATAGGAAAGAAACAAAAACTTTTTTTTTTTTTATACATCCAGAGTACCTAATAGGAAAGACTCATGCATTCACAAATCAAAATCATTATCACTATGCAGGAGTTCCCGTTTTGACCTGTTTGTCAAGTCCTTTAGTGATTCAAAATTAATGTGGATGTATGTAACAGTGGTTGTTCATCGACATAAATAAAAATGCAAGTACGAACCGGTATTGTTAGGTGCCGATTATTTCAACATCTTCAGGATAATTTCGTCTTACAATTTGAAAAAGAAAAAAAATTTTTCTTTTATTTTCTTTTCTCTTTATTGGAATTTTAATAACAATTTTCACCGAAATTCAAGAATTCACCGTTTGCTATAATTTTGATTGCGATTTCATATTTTTACTTAATATAACTGCTTAGAAAAGGTGACCACCTTCCCTTGATAGTGATATAAATGAACCTCCAAGAAGCTTACAGTCCCCAAAATCAACAAAGTCAACAATATTTTTCT